CACTCAGCAAAAGGCTGAAGCATAGGAAAAGCCAACACACACACAAACGACACAGCTTGAGGGAAAAGCAACAAACAAAACAAGCAAAGAACTGAAAATCCCCTGCCAGGGATAGAAACCCAGCACTGAAAGGCTTTAACCACAGCTTCCAGGCCCCCGCCCCTCTGCCGCACCCGGGCCTCTCTATAGACCGCAAGCCGCCTCTCCATAGGCCCCGCCCCTTGCCCCTTGTCAGCGCTCAGCTTCCTCTCAGCTTTCCCATTGGTTCACTTTTGCCTCTCCTTTTACGCCCCCTTCCTCTCAGCCGCTCCTCCCCTCTCAGAGAGGCGGTCGGTCTCACACGCGGACCTCCCCGCGCCGCCCCCACCCCCGTGCTTTCCCCTCCTTCCCGGCATTTCTGTTTCCGCTTTCTGAAGGCTCTTTAGTTTTCCCACCTCTGTGAGACACTTCGCGCCCAGTGGTCCAGTGACGTCATTTTTCTGCGCTGCGTGGACAACCACCGTTGGAAGAGGGAACTGCTTTGCCGCCCTTCGCTGCTTTTCTCGGGCTGCTGCTCATCCGGAATAATGGCGCTGTCACTGTGGAAGGGGCTGGTAGGCATTGGCCTCTTTGCCCTAGCACACGCGGCCTTTTCTGCTGCTCAGCGTAAGTGCCTGCGGGACACAGACCGTTCGGTGCGGGACTTCCGAGGGCGGTGTACGGGCGCACCACAGAGGGAGTGTCAGACCGAATGTCCCAGGAAGGGTCATTAGAGACCTTAGAGTTTGGGGTGATTACAAGAAACAGTGCGGGGCTCCCCAGTGGAAGATTGAAGCAACGTTCGAAGTGGGTGTCTGGGAGAGGGCTCAGAGCTTGACAGGTGCTCTGCATGGCATGCAAAGAGGGAGTCTGAGAATCCAGGACAGGTGATGTCAGATCCAGCGCTGAGCTGATCATGCAAAGTGTCAGATGGAGGACCTCGGATGCTCATGGTCCTATGACAGCTAGGTGGACAGCATCTTGGGTAGTTCAGGCAGTGACTGAGAAGTTAAGTGACCCTTTGCCTCAGGTAGGGACTAGTACAGGAGAAAGAGCACTGGACCGGGAGTCAGGAGGGCAGGTTCTTAAAGACCTGCTTTGCTGCTAAATCTGTGACTTTGGGTGAGACATGTCACAGAGAGTGACATAGAAAGTTTAAATGAAAAAAGAGTTGAAGTACTTTATCATACAGATAAAATGGTGTCATCAAGAAGAAACTTGGAATCCAGCAGAGAATGCTGTTCAATCTTGAGACAGTTGATCTGTTTTGATGTCTTCCCTGCTAGACCAAGGGTCAGCAAACTCTGGCTTGTAGGCCAAATGCAGCTTCCCTCCTGTTTTCGTAGTGAGCTAATAATGTTTTTCCATTTTTTAATTTGTTGGGGTGGAAAAGCAAAAGAATCATCATTTTATGATCCATGACAGTTATATAAAATCGAAGTTCCAATGTCCATTAATGAAGTTTTATTGGCACACTGCCACACCCATTCATCTAGGTATTGTCTGGCTGCTTTCTAAGGGCAGAGTTGAGTTTGTGATAAAAACAGAATGGCTTGCAAATCCTAAAATATTTATTTTCTGACCCTTTACAGGTAAAGTTAGCTGACCTCAGTCCTAGCCTATAGAGCCCATGAGTGCAGGGGCAATGTTTATTTTGTGTTCTTTGCTGTAATTTAAGTGGCTAGCACAGTATGTACTCAATAAATCTGTTGAATGAAGTAAATGAATTCAAACTTGAACTTCATTTCTTTATTTGCTGGATTGCTTTCTTTATTTAGGAATAAAGTAGAAAATGAAATGTGAATTCCTTCAAAGCTCCATTTTTTTTGGGTCAAGTTAAAAACCTTTAGTTCTGTTCATTATATATAATTTAAATTATCCAATTATTTTAACTATTGATTACATACATGTATTGTGACATTGTCTGAAGGAAATGCAAATTATTTGTTAAATAAATTTTTATTTACAAGTTTTAGATTTACAGAAAAGTTGCAAAGATACTACGGAGAATGACTGTAGTATCCACCATTGGTAACATCTTATATTACCCAGTATATTGTCACAACTGAAAAACTGACATTGGTATTATTACTATTAACTGAAGTCTAGCTTTTATTTGCATTTCACCAGTTTTGACATTAATATCCTCTTTCTGTTCTAGGAATTAATCCAGGGTATCACGTTATATTTATTTGTCATGTTTCCCCAGTCTCCTCTGTTCTGTGCTCCAAGCTTTAATGACAATAATAATAACTAACATTATTAAGAGCTTATCAAGTGCCAGGAACTGAACTAAGCATTTTACTTGTATTATATAATTCAGTCCTACCAAAAGCCCTGTGAGGTAGCTATTATTGTTGCTATCATCTTTGAAAGATTAAGAAATTGAGACAGACACCTAGGAAACTTGCATAAAAGTACAGATAAGAAAGTACAATTTGGGCCAAGGATTTAAAGACAAGGAGTTTGACTAGAGCATATGTGCTACACTACTTTATGAAATTCAGTCTCTGGGAATTGGTTGAAATTGCATCATACTTAGGTGCTACAGCAGGGGTGGGGGACCTTTTTTCTGCCAAGGGCCATTTGGAAATTTATAACATCATTCGAGGGCCATATGAAATTATCAACTTAACAATTAACCTGCTATATTTGGTTAAACATTTAATTAACTCACCCCCAATGCCTTGGCAGGGACAGACCAAATTATTTTGAAGGCCTTTTATGGGCCACAGGCCAAACGTTCCTCACCCCTGTGTTAGAGGTACAGCAAGTGATGCCCTGAGGGAGTTCAATGGCAAATGGAGAAACAAATGGATCAAGAAATAATCACAATAAAGTAATATAAATGCCATGCTAAAAATATGTAAAGGTACTTGGAGTTGAGGCAATTCTAGAGCCTTGTTGGCTTAAGTGTGGTCAACAAACCAGCATGATTTTAATCACTTGGGAGCTAGTTAGAAATGCCTGCTCCAGATCTACTGAAACCAAATCTGCATTTCAGTCAGATCTCCTGGTGATTTGCATGCACATTCCTTTGAGAAGCAGTGCCCTAGGGGAGGGAAGGATTCTGTGGAGTGCTGCAGCATTTTCTACCATGGGCTTCAGCTGTAAAATTTTAAGGTCCTAGACCAGTGATGGTGAACCTATGACACGCGTGTCAGAGGTGACACACGAACTCATTTTTTGGGTTGATTTTTCTTTGTTAAATGGCATTTAAATATATAAAATAAATATCAAAAATATAAGCCTCTGTTTTACTATGGTTGCAAATATCAAAAAATTTCTATTTGTGACACGGCACCAGAGTGAAGTTAGGGTTTTTCAAAATGCTGACACGCCAAGCTCAAAAGGTTTGCCATCACTGTCCTAGACTCAGAGCAAGATCATTAAAGTTAAGTCCCTTAGTTTTACAGATGTGAAAGTGCCTGGTTAAAGGTAGTAGTAGAGAGTCAGATTAGACTTCAAGCAATGAAGAAGCTAGCTGGGATTTGAACAGACAGTAGGAAGTTAGGCAAAACCTACTTTTGGTATTGGTTTGATTTTTCTTTTACATTTGTCCTTATGATAAACCCTATAAGAAAAAACCCTGGAAATGTCTCTAAACAAATTCTCTTGTAAGAGCCAATCACGTTTACTCACAACTATTTGGTTTCTTTTGTTTATAATACACTAGTGGCCCGTTGCACGAAAATCGTGTGTGTGGGGGGGTGTCCCTCAGCCTGGCCTGCACCCTCTCCAATCTGGGACTCCTGGCTCCTAACCACTCACCTGCCTGCCTGATTGCCCTAACCACTCTGCCTGCCGGCCTGCTCACCCCCAACTACCCCACCTGCCGGCCTTCTTGCCCCCAACTGCGCCCCTTTGCCAGCCTGATCACCCCCAACTGCCCTCCCCTCTTGGCCTGATCACCCCTAACTGCCTCTACCTGGGCCCCACCACCATGGCTTTGTCTGGAAGGTCTCCCGGTCTAATTAGCATATTGCCCTTTTATTAGTATAGATTATTAAATAGGGATTGTGCAAGGTTCATATAGAATCAGGGTTTTATATTTTTATTAGAGGCCCGGTGCACAGATTTGTGCACTGGTGGGGTCCTTCGCCCTGGCCTGCGGGGATCAGTGGACCTCCATGCCACTGCAGCCCAGCCTTAACTGCCAGCTCATTGGGCTCCAGCCCACTGTCTGTGTTGATCCTGCACAGCACGAAGTAGTGCAGGAAGTGGCAGGCAGCTGGGGAGGAGCCCGAGCCCAGACAGGGTGCTGTGCCACTCCGGCTCATCTCAGCCCTGCTGTGCCTGCTGCAGGCTTGTGCCCAGTCAGTACTGATCGGGAGAGGCTCGCTCCGCCAGCCGTGAGCCCTGCATCTGGTGCCCATTGATCAGCTGAGTGGCGCTCCTGCTGTGGGAGTACACTGACCACCGGGGGCAGCTCCTGCATTGAGCGTCTGCCTGCTGGTGATCAGTGTGCATCATAGCAACTGGTTGTTCCACTGTTTGGCCAATTTGTATATTAGCCTTTTATTATATAGGTCAGAGGGCAGGGGGATTGACATAAACAATTGTTATTTCTTTGACCAGTTAGTAAAAGAAATGATTAGTTTCAGAGAATTCTAGTTGTCTTGTGGTAATGAAAGAAAAATTATGTATAAGTGTTTCTTCCTCATACTTGCTTACTTTTCACTCTTTTAAAAACTATAAAACTCTTAAATGTTTATTGTTGAAAGTATTACATATGTCTCCCCCCATTTGACCTCCTCTAGCCCACCCCCACTGCAGGCCTTCACCACCCTATTGTTTGTGTCTATGGGTTATGCATATATGCATACAAGTTCTACTCCTTTCACTCTTACCTCATTTTATAAGGGTACAAAGTACATTATGATAAGAATTAAATAGCTCAATGTTAGGCTGATTACCTTAGAAGATAGAAGTTTTTGAGGAATCCAGGATTAGCATTACTTTATGTAGCATATAAATAAGGTGCTTCTTTGGTATATTGATTTGCTTGCATTTTAAGGAAGAAATATTAGCTAAAATTTTCTTAATGGTGTGCTTCTGGTTTTATAGATCGTTCTTATATGCGATTAACGGAAAAGGAAGATGAATCACTGCCAATAGATGTAAGTTGGTCATTTATATTCTATTAACAGAGATTTTAAAAATTAACCATGTGCTTTATAGTAGTATTTTTACTGATTTTTATTATATTAAAAATTTTCAGGCATGAAATTATATCTGTTCTCTATTTTTTACACATTCTGTTTGGTTTCTAGAACTAGATTTTAAATAGTCTTTATAGAAGTTGCTCTTCCATAGTCAGAGATGCACTTAAAAAGTTGAATGTTTGACTTCATTTTAAAAATCTTTACCACAGAATATGTTTTCATTGACTTTAGAGAGAGAGAGGAAGAGGGAGAGAGAGAAAGGGAGAGAAGAAAGAAACATCAATCAGTGTGTCTGGTACCACCCACCAGGGATTGAACCTGCAACCTAGATATGTGTCCTGACTGGGAATGGAACCTGCAACCTTTTGGTGTACCAGACAATGCTCCAACCAACTGAGCCACTCCACCAGGGCTTTGACTTCGTTGTTGTTGTTTTTTAATTTTCTTTTTATATAAAGTTTAAGAACAAGCAAAACTAACAAAACATTGTTTAGGAACATATACATAGGAGGTAAAATTAAAGTAAAACAAGGAAGTGTTCTTTTAAGCTAAAATGATACGTGAACTTCACACACAATTTTTATCTTTATTGGGTTTTAAATTACAAAATAGTAAGTTCATTATAACAGAATCAAACCATAAGTGTAAAAAGCAAAACAGACCCTATTAAAAAAAAAACTGACTCCATTGCTCAGCATTTCTACTTCTATTATGAATAGTTTATATGGTACAGAACAGTTTTCTTCCTATGCCTAAACAACCTTATCTTTATTTATGTCTGTATAGTTTTCGCTAATAAAAACACAGAGGTTTTCTTTTAAAAAGTTATTATGCATGGATATGTGTGTGTGTGTGTGTGTGTGTGTAGTTTCTTGTTTGTTTTTAAAAACGTATTTTTATTGATTTTTTTAGAGAGAGAGGAAGGGAAGGGAGAGAGATATAGAAATATTAACGAGAGAGATTATTGATTGGCTGCCCTACCAGGGATCAAGCCACAAACCCAGTCATGTGGGAATCAACACTTCTTGTTGCATGGGTCTATGCTTAACCACCGAGCCATACCACTGGACTATGTATAGTTTTATAATTAGATTTTTATTACTTAATTTATCTTGACATATTTTCGTGACTACTTACAGATTTACCACATTCTTGTTAATAGTGCCTATGATTGCATTGCATGAAAATGATTGTGGTACACTGGTGGTAGGAATGTAAACTGGTATAACATATGACATTAGGTTTTAATTTAGATAGAGTAATAGCTTGTGGCTAATTTTGCCTTTAGTTGTCTGTGATTAAGGATGTGGTTATTAACTTGTTCTCCTATCACTTTTGCTTTGTGATAGATGAACACACATTCATTTATGTCTATTTTAATAACTTTCTTCTATTTACAAATTGGAAATTGTTTAAAATAGATGAAATCACAATCAAGAAAATAAAATATGCCTATAAATTCATGTCAGTTAATGTCAAGCATGCAAATTTTTGCTTGCACGACTTGTTTGGAAAGCAGTTTAATGCTACCTAATACAGTTGAATATGTGTACACGCTACACCAGTGATTCTACTCCCATGCACCAGGAGATATACACAAGGATATCCATATTGACATTGTAAAAGTAACACACAGGAAACAGCCTACATAACCATCAAAAGTTTTATATATATATATAGCTAATATGCTAAGTGTCCAACTTTCTGACCGGTCGCTATGATGTGAACTGACCACCAGGGGGCAGATGCTTAATTCAGGAGCTGTCATGACATGCACTAGCCATTTACAGAGAAATAGCACCACAGATCTGGTGCCCACAAAGCAACACTCGGCTTCCTTCAAGTGGGACAAGGCCCTGCCACCACCCCGGAGCAAAAGCCCACCAAATTGCAGCTGACGCTGCCGAGACTCCATAGAGAAAAATGCAGCCCACAGCCCAGCCCAGCCTGGAAACAGTGGCTGTGGGTGCTGGGTAATGACGTCATGTAGCAATGTCCGGCTTCCTCTTCCTAGTGATGACTAGCCTCCTTGGAGTTACTTCAGCCCAGGAACACGACTTGCTTTATAGCCAGCTGCAAACATTTTATACTTTAACCAAATGTCTGTGAAGCGTTTTCCGGTGTCTCATTTCATTTGATCCTCACAGAAGTCCTGGAGTAGGTAGATAGGAGACTCGGTAGAATCCTATTTTCTTTTCATTAGCCTATTTTCTTTTCATTAGCCAGATTTAGAAAGTTTAGACCAGCCGTGGGCAAACTACAAAATAAAACTAAAAAAAAAAAGACCATACCCTTTTATGTAATGATGTTTACTTTGAATTTATATTAGTTCACACAAACACTCCATCCATGCTTTTGTTCCGGCCCTCTGGTCCAGTTTAAGAACCCATTGTGGCCCTCGAGTCAAAAAGTTTGCCCACCCCTGGTTAGACACTTGACCTGACTGAAAAGAAGTAAGAAATGGTGGACCTTGAAAATGATTTCAGGTTCTCTCACTGTGCAGAATATAGTCAAATACTGCTGCAGTTATAATACTTTACATTTTGTTCTCCCTGCATGATCTACAATAATAATCTGTTTCGTATTGATATTTAATGCTGTGTTGCTCACAGTACCTGAAAGAAGTTGGGGTGCTTCACTGGGCTGGAAAAAGTTTAGCTAAATCAGAAAGCAGGTCTAATTAAGCAAGTTTATTCTATATATAAAAGGCTAAGTTGACTCGTGCATGTGCAATACATATAAAGCTCTTGCTGGTGCCAATTGCACACATGTGTTTCGATCTGTCATTGTTGATTGTGAATTTGGCTGACTTCTATTATGGAGAAAGGGTGACTAGTGATATTAAAATATTTCTTCTAATTAATTTCCTTTCAATGTGCACAAATCCATGCACCAGGCCACTAGTTTTCATATAATGGAATACAAAACACAGTGAAAATGAATGGACAACAAAAAGGATGAATCTCACCAAAAGTTTTTCAAAGTGTGGAAAAGTAAGCAATATATGTTTTAGAGGTACACAGATAACTGGTAAAATTATGAAGAAAAGCAAAGAACAGATTAATACACAATTTGGGACAGTAGTTAACTTTGAGAGAGAGGGTGAAGAATATAATTGCAGAGGGATACATGGGACTTGAAAGGTATTGGTAATATTCTGTTTCTTAAGCTGGGTGGAGGGTAAGAGTGTTCTTTTTTTAAAAAATATGTTTCTTTTATTGATTTTAGAGAGGAAGGGAGAGGGAGAGAGAGATAAGAGTATTCTTTTTATACTCTACTAAAGGCCTGGTGCACTCGAGGGGGGTCCCTCAGCCCGGCCTGTGCCCTCTCATAGTCTGGGACCCCTTGAGGGATGTCCACTTGCTGGCTTAGGCACGCTCCCCAGGGGATCAGGCATAAGCTGGCAGTCAGACATCCCTCTGGCAGCCTGGGAGCCCTCAGGGGATGTCCACTTGCCAGAAGGGAGCAGGCCAAGCTGCAGTTGGACATCCTTAGTGCTGCTGAGGAGGAAGGAAAGGCTCACGCCACCGCCACTGTGCTGGCAGCCGTCAGCCTGGCTTGTGGCTGAGCAGAGCTCCCCATGTGAGAGCATACTGGTTTGGTGGTGATGAACTCCTTTAGCTTTTCCTTATCTGTGAAGCTCTTTATCTGACCTTCAATTCTGAGTGAAAGCTTTGCTGGATAAAGTAATCTTGGTTGTAGGTTCTTGGCATTCATCACTTTGAATAGTTCTTGCCACTCCCTTCTGGCCTGCAAAGCTTCTGTTGAGAAATCAGCTGACAGCCGTATGAGCATTCCCTTGTAGGTAACTAACTTCTTTTCTCTTGCTGCTTTTAAGATTCTCTCTTTGTCTTTTGCCCTTGGCATTTTAATTATGATGGGTCTTGATGTGGTTCTCTTTGGGTTCCTCT